TTAACCTAATCGCCAAGGTCAACATGACCATAAACCACAAATAATATCTCCAACCAGAAACAGTTCAAACCTCTCCCTGACCAGAAACATGCTGGCCCAAGGATAACTTCCCTCCAGCCAGGAAGATGCCAGCCCCAAGATAACCCCCTCCTACTGCAAAGATGTCAGCCCCAAGATAACCTACCCTCTGCCCAGAGACATCCCAACCCACCATAAACTTCTCCCTAACACAGAAACATTCCAAGCTTATAACAAGGCCCCTCACCCTAAAACAAATATATACTCTTAGCCTGTTAAAAATAAATAAATAAAAAGCACTTCTAACTAAAATTGGCCAGAAATCAGAATCCCCCTCATGGTTTTTTTTTTCTCTAAAATAACCTGTCTTTAACTGTTAATCCATGTTTTGTATTTTTTTCCTCTTTAACTCATACACAGATCACTTGAGCCCACAAGTTTGAGACCAACCTGGGCAACATGGCAAAACCCCATCTCTATGAAAAACATAAAAAATGACCAGGTATGGTGGCACATGTCTGTATTCCCAGCTACTTGGGAGGCTGCGATGGGAGGATCACCTAAGAACTTAAGACTGGAATGTCAAGGCTGCAGTGAGCCAAGATCATACCACTGTACTCTAGCCTGGACAATGGGAGTGAGACCCAGCCCCAAAAAAGAAAGAAAGAAAAAAGCTGGAAAGGAAGACCATCAAAGTAGAGGACACTCAAAAATGCAGGGCTTTACTGCTTTAGTGCTTTAGGAGTTTAGAGCCTGCTGAACTAATAGGTCCCTTTCTCCACTGGGCAGAACAAAAGGGCTTCCCTGGGACCAGTCCCCTGCTGGGGAAGCTGGGTTGGAGCACAGACTTGAAGGCTGCACTGCGGGAGCCATCTCAGGTGTTCAACCAGGGCACTCACAAGCCACATAATTTAAGGATGAATTTGAATCCTGGCCAAGAAGGGAAGCCAGAGGTTAACTCCAAGAGACTAGAAGAATTAAGCTTGCTTTTGAAGGGCACACAAGTCCATACAGAGACAAATAAGGCCCAAATCAGAATCCCAAGAGATCTGAACAATTCAGACATGAGATAAAAGGAGTGAGCCCTAAACCAGGGCTCAAGTCAGCTTGTTTGAGTTCCAGCTACATGAACTGTCTCTAAGCTCACAGGTATTCAGGAAGCAGGGATAGGAGCCAAAAAACTCAATGTGTTTTGCATATTTACTTTTTAAGTTGTATTTTAATATTTATGCTTTTTTGTTTTGTCTCAGTTGATTCATTTTAAATTTTATTATATGTTTTTTTCCCCTTAAGTAACTTGAAACAAAGTATAAAGTTTTAGCAAATGTAAAACATTTATTTCCTTTTTCAGTGAAATAGTTTATTCAACTAAATTTTTAAAGAAAGGAAATATGAGAATATGACAAGTACTATAATATTCTGTTTTAAGGTTTTGCCTCAGATATCACACTGCAAGCTGGGAAGGCCTCCCTTTCAGGGTCCAGGGAGAAACCCAGGGAAGAGGCATGATATCACCATACCCATTGTGCAGGTCAAATCAGTTCAGTATTGATGGTCTCTCAGGAATTTCAGTGACATAGGAGTGTAAGGGCTTTTGGTGGGGAAAGTCATAGGAGGGGAAGAGGTGGTGCTGACAGCGGCCACAGAAAGATGGCTTCCTTTGGTTTTCTGCAGTTAAAATCCTGTGAAGGTCAGCTCAAATGTAGACCTGGTGGCCATAAATGTGAAATGGGGTAGGGATGGGAAATTGTGGCTCAGCTGGATTCTAGATTAAAAACACAAGACTTTCAGAGAAACTCCTCCTTCAACAAGTTATGGTGTGTCCAGATGTCACATAAAAGTCACCCTTGATTTATGTGCTCTGCACAAGAATGAAGGAGACCCTGGATTACAATCTGTGTGTGGAACTCATTGGCCATTATCAGAACAAATCCTATTCTCAGATAATGGACATCTGGTAAAGCTTCTACTGTTAATAAAAAAGTTGCCTGTGGGACAGCGACTTTTATGATAGTACCATCTCTTCTGTGATAAAAGTTTTCTAAATCTTATTTTAACCAAGTGATTATGTTTGCATCTTTTCTTAGGAGGGAAAAGAATAATGTGCCACAAAAGACTCCAATGTGTTAGAGATGTCACAGCATAATGAAGGACTGATGAGACACCAAACTCTCTTGCCTTCAGCTTCCTGTCGAGCCCACAGAGATCAGTGGCTCCAACCTCCTTAAAATCCAGACTCCTTAACCTGGACTATGAGATGCAAAGGGACAAGCTCCCCCATGTCACTGCCACCTGTGCAATTTACGTTCTAACTATGCCAACATTTTGAAGTGTCCCCAATGTTTTGGGCACTACCATCTCTCTCTGCCCCAAACTCCTCACCACAGTTTCTTTCCAGGCTACAAACAGCTTATCCACTTAACTCAAAATCCACCTCCTCTGAGAAGCTCTCAGTGATATTCCTCTCCTCTCTCAGGCTGGGTTAGGTATCCCTTTTGGGAGCCCCATAGAACCTAAATATTTTCTTTGTATCAGCCACAATCTTACTGAGTATGTTTATTTTTTGTTTTCCCTATTTGACTCTGAAAGCACAACCTTCAAAAAACAGCGGTCTATCTTTTTTATTCCATTATCCACAGCACAACAATCTAGCTCAGGGATGATTAAATCAACAAAGGGATGGATCGGTGGACAGATGAATAGAAGAATGGACCACTAACAAGAGAAAGAAGCTAGGAGGTAGAAGCTGAACACTTCCAATGCAGAACACTGAGAAATAACTATTAATAACAAGGAAGGGGTATTACAAATTTACCTTGGATCTTAAAACATAAATTCAAGAAGAATCACCACAATTTGTATGTTTAACCTTTAATCAGCTCATTTGCCTGATCCTTGACCTCTATCTCTCCCTGGACTCTGTCCTAATCTCCATAAACTGTCCCTTGAATTAAGGGAAACAGTTCAATATTAGGATCTGCTTTTACCCTCCTTCCTTAAATTCAGCAAAGGTAAAATACACACATCACAGCTACAATCTGACTGGTCTCAGGACACTAGTTTCTGAGCCTGCTCTTCACCCAAGCTCCCAAATCTTGTCTCAGATACCAACTATGATCGTCTTCCCTCCATTAAAAAAACCTTCTCCACCAAACAAAAGGTTTTCACACCACCTTTCAGGTAAGTAGTGACCTGAATCCAAATTCAGGCTGTATCAGGTGCCAGCTGAGAAATCTCAGGCAAGATATTTAAGTTCTCTAAATGTGAGAGTTCTTATTGGTAAAATTGGAACCATTATAGTGGCAATCTAAAAAGGTTGTTGTAAGGAATAATGAAGGAAATGAGAAGCTCTTAGAACTGTATGTGACACACAATAACTGAATATGTCACCAGGATCTGTCAAAGACAGCTGTGAAACAGAGAATTAGAGCAATGCCTGAAGATCAGGCAATGAAAAAAGTCCTCATTTTTGAGGATTGAGAGAGTAATGGATCCAAAATACATGTCTGCGACACACAGTGATATCCAGGGAAACTGTAGAAAATATCTTAAAGAGATGGCTTATGAGCACTTAGAAAAGAAAGTGGTAAGCCCGCAGACCCAAAATGGATGTATACATTACAAACAAACCGGGTAAACTTTAACTCCTTTGTTGGATTGAAGGTCAAGGGTCTGTATTAGTAATTACAACAGCAGCAAATACTCATGTTGCACTTATGTGCCAGGCACCATAACAAGCCCCCTGCACATATTAGATGATTCAATCCACACAAAAGCCCTAGAAGTAAGTGCTATCAATATCTTCAATTGACATATGAAGATACTAAGGTACAAAGAGTTTAATTTCTCTAATATCACACACTTATAGGAAATATTAGGGCTAGGATTTAAATTGATGAAGTCCAGCTCCAGAACCTGTTCCATGCACTATAGCATGTACACCACAGCTCTGCTATCCCATTCCAATAGTAGACATTGCTAATCAACCCCAGCATTCATTATCATTGGGATTATGAATGAGATACAGGTTCAACATTTTTCCCAGAATAGTAAGAGGAACTACACCTACCTAATCTGTTAGCATTGTCACACCAGAGGAAGCCCATTTGTTATTCCTGCCATTGGCATAACACGTCCAAATATTCATAAGGCAGGCAGCAAAGTCTATTATTATATTATTACGGATTTGGTGGAAAAGAGACATGAGAGATTAAGAGTTGGCTGAACATATGTACCTAAAAACATTACACTTCTCACTAGCAGGTCAATGTGCATCTAAAGGGCATCTCCAGGAGTTGTCCCAAGTGAGCTGTGCTTTAGCTGGTTCTCAGAAACCTAGTCAATCAAGGACTTGCATGAAGAGCTAAAGCATAGGATCTGGTGAATACATAACTATGTCACACCATCGTTTTGAGATCATAGTTCAAAACATCCTCTGAGGCTCTATATCCACAGGAGTCTGCAGAGGCCAAGTTTTCCCTCTAGACATTGTTTTATTGAACCTGTCTTTACTCAGGCCTTGTGGGAGATCCTGGGGCCAGCAATGAAGAGAGAGGGACACAAGAAGAGGCAGAGCATAGGCCAGGATGTTCAGAGCAGATGTATAAAAAATGCCATCTAGGTCTCACCAGATGGACTCCAGCACCCAGCCTTACTGTCAGCTCTCTAGCCATAGTAAATTGCCCCAAGAGAATCTGATTCTCATTAAAGGTGAAAAGGTGTCCACAGCCCAACTGGCACCTCCCTGCTTCTAGGTGAGGTTGGTCCCAGGAGGGTAAGACTGTGAGCAGAAGACATGGAGCAATGTCGCTAGTGTGGTTAAATATCAGCTTATCCCACAGCCTTGCCTACAGAGATGTAATAAGGAAAGCAAGTGGGTCTAAGGCTGGTCAAAAAGAGTATCACTGCAAGAAAATGAGGCTGTCTTGTTGCTGGCAAGGAAAGCTCCTTGTGCAAACAAGGGAACATGTCCTCTAACCCACCGTCTTTCTTCCAGTGCAGCAATGCAACAGCAATGACATCCATGTGTTTGTTGATTTCTTTTCTAAGGCAGGAAATGAGGTGTCCACAGAGACCCTGGATGAATAATGCATAACATCTGCAAAAAAAAATCAACCCTCAATTAACTGTACTGGTGGAGAGAGGCTACAAGAATCAAAAATATCTGACAATCCTAGAAAAGTTTTATTTCTCCTTGAAAAAGCTGGAGAGGTAAACGGTGGAAGATTCAGCCATACACACACTATAAACAAACTCATGGATTGTGCATGCTGCGTATGCACCCCATTTACACTCACATACATGCTTATGTGTATACACACACATTCAGTTCACACACACTCAGACACAGGTTGGTTGAGTCCCAATTCAAAAGGCAAGTCGACTTCCTCAGGAGGACAGTTGCTAGAAAGTCGGTAAGCAGGAGTAGAAAGTGCTTGTTGCAGATGCTGGAAAGGAGATTCAAGTATCTGCTGGGAGGAATGCCTTTAGGCTTCCCTGAAGCCCTTAGAATTTGTGATTTCAAAATTTGCTCAAGTTCAGCAATAGGTTGTATCCTGTATCAGTGTATCTTGCACCACGAAGTATGTTATAGAACCCTCAGATATTGTTTCCTTAAACCTGGCAATTTGGTAAAATAACCATAAAACAGCAGCACATTCTGTTGCAGTTGTCTGTAGACTTGGTTTCTGGTTGACTTCAGCAGACTGCCGAAGGAAATTAGACTTTGTCAGCCAACTATCACACATTTGAATGCACACATATCTATGCACACTCTTATTCCTAACCTTAGTGAAACCACACAGACGATGGTTAAGTTCATTGCTGAACAAGGACCTTATGTTTCCATTCCCTGCCCAGTACTTAATTCACTTACTTGGACTATAGGAGGGGGCTATGTTTATTTAATCCTGAATCCTGGACCCATATCTGTACCTCTCTGCCTTTGGCCACCAGTACAGGGTAGTGATGCTGCAAGTATGTGATGGTGCCTCTCAGGAGGGCACATGGGAGATGCACATGCATCCCATTTGAAACAAGAAAGGAAAGGAGAACACCAACATGCTGATTCATCGGGATGTGAACTCCTATTACTCTGGGGTTATATACACGAAAAGTCTACATTCCCAGATTAAGAGAATCTATTACTTTTCTTTGGTAAAGCTTTTTAAAGGAAACAAAGAATATCTCCTACTGATCTTCAGTTTATGTGTTACATCAAAAATGGAAGTATCGAGACTCCAACTTTTGATGCTTACTGAATGAAGGCAGATGATCAAAATTTACTGTTTTTAAAAAAAGAAATAATGAAAAAAATTGAAAAAAACGCTGACCTAAAGACACATGGATGCTAATATCCTCACTCATTTGCATTTCCTTGGCAGTGTCCTGCCCACAGATGTCCCATGAGCCATGCTACCTGCAGAACTGTGTAGTTTTGCTGTGGTGAGGTTGAAATCTTGAACAGACATATAACAAGGGCTGAAGTTGAGGCAGCAATTAATAGCTTACAAACCAAAAAAAGTTTAGGTCCAGATGGGTTCACAGCCAAATTCTTCTAGACACACAAAGAGGGGCTGGTACTATTCTTTCTGAAACTATTCCAAACAATACAAAAAGAGGGAATCCTCCCCAACTTATTTTACGAGACCAACATCATCCTATTACCAAAACCCGGCAGAGACTCAACAACAACAACAAAAAACTTCAGGCCAATATCCATTATGAACAGATGCCAAAATCTTCAATAAAATACTGGCAAACTGATTGCAACAGCACATCAGAAAGCTTATCCATCATGATCAAGTAGGCTTCATCCTGGAGATGCAAGGCTGGTTCAACATAGCAAGTCTATAAACGTAATTCACCACATAAACAGAACCAAAGACAAAAACCACATGATTACCTCAACAGATGCAGAGAAGGCCTTTGACAAAATTCAACAGCCCTTTATGCTAAAAACCCCCAATAAACTAGGTGTCAATGGAACGTATCACAAAATAATGAAAGCCATTTATAACAAACTCACTGCCAATATCATACTAAACGAGGAAAAACTGTAAGCATTCCCTTTGAAATCTGGCACTAGACAAGGATGTCCTCTCTCACCACTCCTATTCAATATAGTATTGGAAGTTCTAGCCAGAGCAACCAGGCAAGAAAAATAAATAAAAAGGGTATTCCATTCAGAAAGGAGGAAGTCAAATTGTCTCTATTTGCAGATGACATGATTGTATATTTAGAAGACCCCATCGTCTCAGTCCAAAATCTCCTGAAACTGATAGGCAATTTCAGCAAAGTCTCAGTATGCAAAAATCAATGTGGAGAAATCACAAGCATTCCTATACACCAATAACAAACAGAGAGCCAAATCAAGAATGAACTGCCATTCACACAAACAGAGCCAAATCAAGAGCAAACAGCCATTCTCAATTGCTAGAAGGAGACTAAAATACCTAGGAATACAAAGGACCTCTGCAAGGAGAACTACAAACCACTGCTCAAGGAAGTAAGAGAGGACACAAACAGATGGAAAAACATTCCATGCTCATGGTTAGGAAGAATCGTTATCGTGAAAATGGCCATATTGCCCAAAGTAATTTATAGATTCAACACTATCTCCATCAAACTACCAATGACCTTCTTCATAGAACTGGAAAAAAACACTTTAAACTTCATATGGAACCAAAAGAGAGCCCACATAGCCAAGACAATCCTAAGCAAAAAGAACAAAGCTGGAGGCATCATGCTGCAGGACTTCAAATTATACAAGGCAAGAGTAATCAAAACAGCATGGTACTGGTACCAAAACAGAGACGTAGACCAATGGAACAGAACAGAAGCCTCAGAAGCAACACTACACATCTACAACCATCTAACTTTTGATAAGCATGACAAAAACAAGCAATGGGGAAAGGATCCCCTGTTGAATAAATGGTGTTGGGCAAATTGGCTAGCAATGTGTAGAAAGCAGAAACTGGACCCCTTCCTGACACCTTACACTAAAATTAACTCCAGATGGATTAAAGATGTAAACATAAGACCTAACACCATAAAAACCCTAGAAGAAAACCTAGGCAAAACCATCCAGGACATAGGCATAGGCAAGGATGTCATGACTGAAACACCAAAAGCAATGGCAACAAAAGCCAAAATAGACAAACAGGATCTAATTAAACTTCAAAGCTTCTGTACAGCAAAAGAAACAATCATTAGAGTGAACTGGCAACCAACAGAATGGGAAAAAATTTTCACAATCTACCCATCTGACAAAGGGCTAATATCCAGAATCTACAAAGAACTAAAACAAATTTACAAGAAAACAAACCCATCCTAAAGTGGGTGAAGGATATGAACAGACACTTTTCAAAAGAAGACAAATATGAAGCCAACAGACATATGAAAAAAATGCTCATCCTCACTGGTAATTAGAGAATTGCAAATCAAAACTACATTGAGATACCATCTCACACCAGTTAGAATGGCAATCACTAAGAAATCTGGAGACGACAGATGCTGGAGAAGATGTGGAGAAATAGGAACACTTTTACACTGCTGGTGGGAGTGTAAATTAATTCAACCATTGTGGAAGACAGTGTGGTGATTCCTCAAGGATATAGAAATAGAAATTCCATTTGACTCAGCAATCCCATTACTGGATATATATCCAAAGGATTATAAATCATTCTATTATAAAGACACATGCACACTTATGTTCATCGTGGCACTGTTTACAATAGCAAAGACCTGGAATCAACCCAAATGCCCATCAATGATAGACTGGACAAAGAAAATGTGGCATATATACACCATGGAATACTATGCAGCCATAAAAATGATGAGTTTGTGTCCTTTGTAGGGACTTGGATGAACCTGGAAACCATCATTCTCAGCAAACTGACACAAAAAACACTGCAAGTTCTCACTCATAGGCAGGTGTTGAACAATCAGAACACGTGGACACAGAGAGGGGAGTATCACACACTGGAGACCATTGGGGGGGGCCAGAGGAGGGACAGAGAGGGTGGGGAGAGATGTCAGGTATAGATGATGGGGGGATGGAGGCACCAAACCACCTTGCCATGAATGTACCTATGCAACAATCTTGCATGATCTGCACATGTACCCCAGAATCTACAGCACAATTAAAAAAAAATGAAACAATGAAAAAAAAAAAACCTTGAAAAAAATAGTGACCTAAAGACACATGGATGCTAATATTCTCAGCCCTTTGTATTTCCTTGGCAGTGTCCTGCCCACAGATGTCCCATGAGCTGTGCTACCTCCAGAACTGTGTAGTTTTGCTGCGGTAGGATAAAAGCCAGTGAATAGGAAATCACTGTATTGTGACTCATATTGTACCATGTAACACAGGCAACAGGTTCTGCCTCTGGATGTGCAGACATGTAATAATGTGGGACCCAGGGGTAATAGAAGATTGGTGGGGCAAAACAAGAGCTAGAGGTTGGAGAGGAAAAGAAAGACATATGCTAAATCTCTGGATGGCTCACAATGGCCAGAAGCTGCTGCTCAGGAAGACCTGTTAATTCAGGTCCATTAATTCTATTTATTCTACTGATAGACTTTAATAACTATTAATTCATCCAACTATCCAATAATTCAGTCATCCATTCATCCAACTAGCCAACCATTTAGGTTTTTTTCAGCTTTTTGGATGTTTATTTTGAAAATTCATCCCTCTGCTACCATTATAAAATGTGGGCTATCAAATCATCAGTCATTTATTTAATACAATTAATCAGATAGCAACATAGTAGACTTGCCACTGTGTCAGGCACTCGGCACAGATTGGTGAAAAAATTAGATAATAGAGCTTATAATCTTGAGAGTAAGACATCAAATATTGACATCATACAAGCAGATCAGCAAAAACCGTAGCAAATTCTATAACAGAAGAATACAAGAAGTCAGTCAGGCATGGTGGCTCATGCCTGTAATCCCAGAACTTTGGGAGGCCAAGGCTGGTGGATCACCTGAGTTCAGAAGCTCGAGACCAGCCTGACCAACATGGAGAAACCTCGTCTCTACTAAAAATACAAAGAATTAGCCAGGCGTGGTGGCACATATCTATAATCCCAACTGAGATTATAAGAAGCAGGAGAATCACTTGAACCTGGGAGGCAGAGATTGTGATGAGCCGAAATTGCGCCATTGAACTCCAGCCTGGGTAACAAGAGCAAACTGCTTCAAGGAAAAACAAAAATACAAGAAGCCACGAGTGCTTATAAGAAAAGAAAAAAAAAAAAGAGCCTTACAGTGTCATGTAATCAAAAGGCTTCCACAAGAAAGTAACTTTTCAGATAAGACCTTGTACAGTTTAATAATTGAAGGGATAAGATAGATTTTTAATCAGAGGAAATAGCATGTATAAAGGCCCTGGGGTTGAAATGATGCTGCTGTCCATGGCTGCATCCAACTAGAAGGTATACACATTTTGTGCATGCTCCTGGATGCCTTAGTAGCAAGTACAGGTCTTGACAAAGATGGAGAATATATAAAAGATACAGCCTGAAGTGTCAGTTCACTAGAGTGAGGGACCATGTCCAAT